GAAGGTGGAGTACCACAGGACATGAAGGATGCAAACATCGTCACATTGTACAAGAACAAATGAGACAGGGGCGACTGCAATAACTACCATAGCATCTCTCTTCTCAGCATTGTAGGGAAGCTGCTTGCCCGTGTTGTGCTGAAGAGACTTCAGGTGCTTTCAGACAGAGTCTATACAGAATCACAGAGTGGATTTCAAGCTAATGGATCCACCATTGACATGGTATTTTCCCTCAGGCAGTTGCAGGAGAAATGTAGGGAACAACGACGGCCACTCTTTCTGGCCTTCATAGATTTGGTTAGCAGGGATGGCCTTTTTAAAATACTTCCCAACATTGGATGTCCACCTTGACTCCTTAGCATCATCAGATATTTTCATGAGGAAATGAAGGGCACTGTAGATTTTGATGGCTCAACATCAGATCCCTTTGACATCTGAAGTGGAGTGAAATAGGGCTGTGTCCTCGCGCCAACTCTGTTTGGGATCTTTCTTGCTGTCATGCTGAAGCACGCTTTTGGAATCACAACAGAAGGTGTCTATCTCCGGACTAGATCAGATGGAAAGCTCTTTAATCTCCAAAGTCCAACTGAAATGCATGCGGGACTTCCTCTTCGCTGATGATGCAGCTGTTGTTGCCAATTCTGCTGAAGAGCTCCAACAATTTATGAATCCTTTTAGTACGGCCTACCAAGATTTTGGATTAACAATCAGCCTGAAGAAAACACAAGTCATTGGCCAGGTCATGGGCTCACCTCCCTCTATTAATTTGAGAGTGACAATCCCTTTCACACTGAAAACAAATACAGTCTGTCCCCTGTCCAGCTCCCTGATTTTGCTGCTTTCCCTCTATTACCATCCCTACACAAGAATCGGAGGTTGTTCATGATTTCGTATACCTTGGCTCAACAATCTCTGACACACACTCTCTAGATGTTGAGCTGGATAAACGCATTGGCAAAGCAACTGCCATCTTCTCTAGACTCACAGAGTATGGCTTAATAAGAAGCTGACAGCATATATTGTACCAATATCCAGGTCTATAAAGCCTATGTCCTGAGTACACTCCTGTACTGCAGTGAGTCCTCAACCCTTTGTGCATGGCAGGAGAAGGAGCTGAACACATTCCATATCCCTTGTCTCCGATGCATTTTTGCTATCACCTGGCAGGACAAGGCTCCAAATAGAGTAATCCTAGAATGGGCTGGAATTGTTCGCATGCATACATTACTGAAACAGCAATGTCTACATTGGCTTGGTCATGCTGTGAGAATGGCTGATGGTCAGATTCCAAAAGATCTCCTGTATGGAGAATTAGTGCAGGGAAAGTGCCCCAGAGAGAGACCACAGCTGTGATACAAGGATATCTGCAAGTGGGATCTGAAGGCCTTACGAATGGACCTCAACAGATGGAAAAACCTTTACATCTGAGCATTCAGCCTGAAGGCAGGCAGTGCTTCATGGCCTCTCCCATTTTGAATAGGCACTTGTTCAGCAGGCTCAGGTAA